GGGGGGGCAAAAAAAAAAAAAAGGGGGGGGGGGGGGGGGGGGGGGGGGGGGGGGGGGCCGGGGGAGGGGGAGGGCCGGGAGCCGAGCCTCCTGTTCATTAGCAGTTGAGAAAAATTCCTTTCTAGTTTGATCAATCCTTGTTTTTCCACCGCACAGCCGCGGCGCCCGCCCAGCGCAGCGACGGAGAGTGGGGTCTCCACGGCAGGGGTGCCCTGCGCCCGGCCTCCGGGGCGCACAGAAGTAGGGACGAGGGGGTCAGGCCGGAGCACCTCCGGGGCTTCTCCCTCCTCCCTCCTTCCCTTTCGGGTTGCCTTTTTTTCCACTTCTCTCCCTCCCCCTTCCGTTTCTATTTGTGAAGGGAGGAGGAAGGCAGAGGCGGGCTGGTGTCTCTGGCCGGGGACTGGAATTTCATCTGAATGACTGCCCCAGCGCGCACACAGCGCCCGGGAGTCGGCCCGCCCGCGCCCTGCAGCCCGCACCTGGCCGGCCAGCTGGGGGACGCCCGTACCCCGGCCCGGGGCCCGTCGGCTCGCCTCTCTTGCCCGAGCCGGGTCTAGCCAACCCTTGGAGCGGCCGAACTAGCTTTCAGCGCCTCTCGGACCTCGGCCCCGGGCCAGGCGAGCCGGGAGGGAGCTACCATCGCCGGGACCGTCGCTGGAGGAAGTGTGCGGGTCCCGGGCTCCGTGCGCCTTGGGGCGCGCCCCGATGCCATCCGCGCGGCCGTCCGTAGGCCGCGGGCCGCCGCTGCGCTAGCGGGTGCCGACCCGGAGGCGGCCTGTTATATGGAATTTGGACCTCGGCGCTGCTCTCCAGGGCTCGTGCCCCGGCCGCGGCCCTGGCGCAGCCCGCCGCCTCCCGCTAGGCGCTCGCCAGGAGGAGGAGACGCAGCCGGCGGCGCGCGCGGCGTGAGGACCGAGGCTCCCTCCTGTGGGGGGCGGGCACAGGGAAGGCGCTGGTGACTGAGCAACTGGCCGGGCCGGCGGGGACCGGAGCTCCGGGCTCGGTGGGCCCACAGCTGCACCAGACGGAACTCCAGGGTTGGGGAGTTAGAGAGGCCTGCCTGGGCTCCCTGCCCGCAGCCACCATGGCGGAGAATTGGAAGAACTGCTTTGAGGAGGAGCTCATCTGCCCCATCTGCCTGCACGTCTTCGTGGAGCCGGTGCAGCTGCCATGCAAACATAACTTCTGTCGGGGCTGCATCGGCGAGGCGTGGGCCAAGGACAGCGGCCTGGTGCGCTGCCCGGAGTGCAACCAGGCCTACAATCAGAAGCCGGGCCTGGAGAAGAACCTGAAGCTCACCAACATCGTGGAGAAGTTCAACGCCCTGCACGTGGAAAAGCCGCCGACCGCGCTGCACTGCGTGTTCTGCCGCCGCGGCCCCCCGCTGCCCGCGCAGAAGGTCTGCCTGCGCTGCGAGGCGCCCTGCTGCCAGTCCCACGTGCAGACGCACCTGCAGCAGCCCTCCACCGCCCGCGGGCACCTCCTGGTGGAGGCGGACGACGTGCGGGCCTGGAGCTGCCCGCAGCACAACGCCTACCGCCTCTACCACTGCGAGGCCGAGCAGGTGGCGGTGTGCCAGTACTGCTGCTACTACAGCGGCGCGCATCAGGGACACTCGGTGTGCGACGTGGAGATACGGAGGAATGAGATCCGGGCAAGTACACTGCACGCGCTCACACATACACACACACACACACCGCCTGGGGGACGTCCAACCAGACAGACTGACTCTTGTGACATTAGGCTAGAGACCCACTTCCAAACTCTTCTGTGAAAGTTTCGGGGGCAGGGTTCTGGGAAGAAGGGCCGCGCTGCGGGGTGTGTTACCGCACCTGTGCTTCTAGGGTCCCTCTTGCAAACCCTTTGTGAAATTGGGATTGGCTGCTAGAAGTAGTATGGGTGTTGCTTTTCTGTTTTGCGCAGCTCCCTCCCCCAGCGTTGTTTCTGTAAGCCCTACGGGAAGTCACCGAGGCAGTGACCCCGGTCCCGCTTCTCCAGCTGCTGTTTATGTAATGAGTGTCCTGGTGCCGCTGCTGTGGCTGACATGATCCATGATGCTGGCATACCAATGAGGAAGTAAACAAAAGCAGCCATGTTAGTTTTAAGGTCTATTGGAAACATATTGGGGGTTCGGGGGAGCTTCCGGAGCTAGAGCAGAACTCTGGTATTTAGCTGGGCAAGTCCAGGATGCCTAGGGGAGCTTCCCGACTTGTCAGCTCTGCGGATTTGTCCCAGCAGGCGCTCCCCAAGCTAGAAGCTGTTCTCTGTGTGCCTATGTATTGCCTGCGCCTGCACGAACAAACCTTAAAGTATGTGTCTTCCTCACCCAGGGCTCTTTCCTCCCAGCCCTGCCCTCTTGCACAGCCCTCCCACATTTGGGGAGGGGAGATGGAAGACGGAAAAAGAATCCTGTGGGTTTAAGGTTGAGCCGCCTTGAAATCTGGTTTCAGGCAGCTGGCTCCCCTGGGCTGGCGGCTGGGTGATTACCGAACCGCACCCCCTCCCATTGTATACACCCTGCAGCGGCAGCCAATGTCAAAACTGCCTTCCCCCTCTTAGGCCTCTGGGCCTGGCTAGCGAACTGGACTGAGACATACTTCCGTCCCCTTCCCTGAAAGGGGCTCCTCTTAGGTCCTTCTCTGGTCCCTTGGCGCTCAGGGTTGAGTCACAACCAGAAAGAAGGAGTTGGACTAAGACTGAGCCATCTTGAAAGCCCCAGGTTGGGGCCTGGGTGTGATATCGTGGGAGCCAGGTTGGGTTTGGTAGGACTGGGAGTGTTTATTTAGGGTGGGGGCCCCTGGAGGCTAACGAGGACTGTGGAGTATGAGGAAGCTCTGAGCGGGACTGGAATGTAGATGGGGGCTGTTTTCTTGGGGGGGGGGAGCTGTAGACTAGGAGGGGGACCAATCTCAATGAGTCACTGTTTAGCAATTAAAAACCATACATTTACAACCAACAAAAGGCTGGAGGGCCACCGCAGGCTCAGGGCGGGGATAACAAAATTTGCTGTATAATTAGTTTGCAATTGGATGGGCCAGCTCTGGGGTTTTGTGCCAGGAGAGGCCTCTGGTTTCTTAAAGGAAGTGTGGGGGATGGAGAGAGGAGCCACTCCTCCCCACTAGTACTGGAAAAGGCCAAGGCCTGAGGATGTGGAGGAGCCCTGTTGTCCTCCTCCCCGGACTCAGGGTAGGGACTGCTCACACTTTCCTCAGTATTGGGAAGCTGCTGCTATTAATAAAGGTGGCAGGGAGGAGGCTGGGAAAGTGCAGAAAGGCTGGAGAAAGAAGGGCTGACCAGTGCTCAGTCCTGAGATTGGCAGTGGAAGGTGGGTAGAGGGCACAGAAAGAGATGTGACTGAAAGAAACAGGAGAGGATAGCACCTAGGGTGTTCACACATGTGCTTATACCTCTGGGGTGCCCTTAATGGGGTCTGAATGCTAGGGATGCCTTTACTTGGAGTGGGGGAGAAAGCTTAATTATATCTGACTTGGTATTATGAGAATATCCTAGATACTCTCCTAATGGACCTGTCTTGCCTGTACCATTTGGGGATAGGGGCAGGTGGCACTTGTTTGCAGAGTATACCCTGGGGTTCCCTTCAGCAAGCCCCTGATTTCCAGATTCAGGTCAGAAATAGGCACTGAACTTTGTCAGCAGCTCCATGGGTGTGGGTGTATGTATATGTATGAATGTATATATGCTTGTGTATAGACTTACATGTAAATGTGTGCCCTTATGCCTGTGGGGGCAGGCTCAGAAGCAGTGAGTTGCATTAAGGCCAGATGTGCAATTTTGTGCACTCAGCATCTGTGCCTGAGGCTCATCTTCCTCCAGGCTCCCCACCTCCATTCTCTCTGGTGCCCGAGGGCACTGGACTTTAAAACCCTTCAAAAGCCCAGTGTCACTCAAGTGTGAGTTTGACTTACTGAATATGGATAGAGGTCCACCTTCTGGGAGGGGGTGAACCCTGGAGAAGATGAGTGGAAAACTCCTACCCCCTCTCTCTCTAGTCAAGCCAGGAGGAGAGGCCTTTGCCTCTGTCCCTTTTCTCTTTCTAGCAAGCATCTGTCTTAAAGGGCCCTTGCTGGTGCTGTAAAAAAGGGCACCAGAATTTTGCAAGGTATAGGGGCAGAAGCACAGAGACATACAAAATCTAGGTTCTGCTTGTGTTTCCTCTTTTGCTCTCCCATGGGGGTTGGGGGTGGGGACTGTTAAGGTGCCGGGTCAGTTGACTGGAAATTGGAAACACTGATTAACCCCTTCCTGAGGGCCCCACCCTTACATAGCACCCACTTCTGCACTTGAGTCTCTGGCCTAGGTAGGGCCATCAGGCCTCCACCCAGCTTGGGGTACTCAGGTGTTGTAGGCCAGAACATTGCCCTACTCTGCCTTTGAGGGACCTGGATGGCCACCAGATGGGCCTTAAGATCACTCTCTGGGACATGCCAGTGATCTTTCTTTTTGGGCCCAGGGTTGAGACAGCCAGGTGGACTCTGGCCTAGCAGTTCCCAGTAGACAAAACCCCTTTCAGCCTTAAGGTTCAGGGGTTCCTCTAAGTAACTGAGGGCTGGTGGGAGTTGGGAGCACTCTTAGGACCTCCCTCAGAATAGAAAGAACTGAAGAGAAGACCCGGACATGTGTGTGAGGGGTTTTATAGGTTATGTGTTCTTGAGCTTGTATGGCCCTAGTGTGCTCTTTTGTCATCCCAAAGACCCCAGATCCAAGCTGGAAATGTCTGAATTACATCCTTGTATCCTCCTTAGTGCAGAGCTGAGAAGAGGTATTCTCTGGGAAAGGGGATCCTACCACTTGAGCCAATTGGGTTTTGGGGTGAGAACACCCTGCTCATGTTGCCTGTACTGGATACACTGGAACCCCGAAGGGAGTCCATCTGTGGGTGGCTGTGAGAGGAGGCCTAGAGGGCTCAGCTAAGCTGGGCTGCATCCTGACTCAGGCAGTTCACATATACCATTCCCTCTGTCCATAGCAGACAGGGTGGGGAGGCTGTCTCTGTCCTGTGAGGGCTATGTAGCAGCATCCTTTCCTTGAACATCCCGAGTCTTCATAGATGGAAGTTTGGCCTCTTCCCTGGACCCTATGAGAAGACACAGGCAAGGGCCCTACCCCAGGAACCTGCTGACATAGTGGGGAGCCTGTCATGCACACCCTACTGATTATGCACACCTGCATAGTGGGGAGCCTGCCATACACACCCTGCTGTTCTGGGCTCTCTTCATCCTTCTGCAGGTGTGTGTGTCTGTGTCTAATCGTATTTTAACTTTTTGTTTCTCACATGGGTATCTCCAAGAAAAGATGTGTGCGTGACTAATTAGACACTACTTTCATGTGTGGCTGTGGGGTCAGGAAGACAGGCCCTCCTGTGTATGTGTGTGTGAGAGAATAAATGTGTAATGAGAGCAAGAAGTGTGCAGGCTGGCTGTGCCGTGCTGGCTGTATTCCTGCCAGCTGAAGTTTCCTTTGCCTGCTTTGCTGTTGGTAAGACTGCTGCTTTACTGAATGCTTGCTTAGGTGATGAGTGGGAAGTGAATTTGCTAGGGGGCCTGTAACTTTCTTGGCTGTTTGGGGTGTTCTGGAAGGATGGGATTCACCTCAAGGTGAGCTGTTGCCTGGGGTGGTTGTTGGAGGCAAGAGCCCCAATGGGTGCTGCAGAGCTTGGGGAAATGGAGTCTGGATGGGCATAGGCAGCCCAGCTTGGGCCCCTGTCCTGGGCTGAGCAAGCAAGCCTGGCTGGCCTCATCCCTGGCTCTGGGAAAGCCTTCTTCCCTGGCCGGCCTGGCATTCAAACCCAGACAAAGGGGGGCTTTCTCTCTCGCCTCTTTGTTCTGCTGCCCCAGAGGCTGCTCTGTGCATGGCAAAAGCTAATTCCGCTCTGCAGCTGGGAAGCCTCTCTGGCCTGTGGGGCTTGCTGTGAGGTTCCAGCACCACTCTCTCCTTGCCCTGACTCCTGTGCCTAGCACCCCTTCTTTCTGAGTGTGTGCCTTCCCTGACTTGAGAGTTCACAGTAGCCCAAGGCAGACACTATGGTGATGAAGGGGGACTTTTTTGGAAGGAAAGACAGAGTGCTTGAGCCCATGGAGCCAGGTCAAATGTGATCCTGGGACAAGCACTTAGGTGGGGGGAGTGAGGGGCAGACTTGGCAGTTAGGAAGAAAGTTAGCTCTTAGCAGGAAGGCATGTTCCAATAGCCCAGCCCCTTTCTTGTCCCCTCACCCCCTCCCTACCACCACAGGGGTTGCTAGAGCCAACCTCAACCTTGCCAGCAAACCTAGTGCCTGCCTCTGCCCAGGCCCTCAGACTGTTCCCTCCTGACCTTGCTTTTCTTCAAGGTTGACTTGTGGGTTTATTATTATTTATTAACTTTTATACAGCCCTGAGTCCCCAAGCCTCACCCATCTACCCAATCTAGTTTGGCAGCAAAATACCAACAGGCCCTAGCTGGCCAGGCTCCAGAGGAACCTGAGATTGCAGAGCAGAAGATAGGGGCTTATGATTCCCCTCTTGTTTGGGTGGGCACCGAGGCACCAGCTCAAGGCATGGGGGCAGGTCTGAGGAACATGGCACCCTAGAGTTCTCACAAACCTAGGATCTCTCAGAATGCTTGACACCCACAGATAAAGGGTAATGAGATGAGGTCCCATATGCTCCCTGGAGACCTTGATCATTTCATTGCTTCAGATTAGAGTTGGTTCCCACTCCAACACACTTGAAGTGGACCACAGTCCAGGAAGCTTATGGTGGGCCTGGGCAGTTTAGAAAGCCTCCCCTCCTCTACTTTGGGAGGCCTTGCTGGGAATCAAGGTGGGAAATCTAGTCCTACTTGTGCTGTGAGATTTTCCCAGGTGGGAAATGTGATTGCCTGGGAAGGTGCGCAGGGGTTTAGGTTGAGCTAGAACGAGGCTGTTTGGGGTGAGGTCTTGCCTGTGGTCCTCCAGCTTCTTACCTAATTTCCTTGATTTGGTAGAATTGGTGTGGGGGTGATGAAGGTAGCAGATAGCAGTCTCCCAGGGCTTGAGGTAGCAGCACCTCTCCATTCCCAGGCCTCTGGAGCAGGATTAAGGGGACCTGGCCCCAGGGAAGGTAGGCTTCTTCCCAGCCCTGCCTGGCCTGCAGCTATCTCTGGTTGAGCTTCCTTTGCTTTCCTGCCCAGCCCATTGGAACCAGGTGGCCTCTGAGGTGGGAGGGAGGGAAATTAAACCCATCCACCTGCTGGGGCATGTGACTACTGCCTTTGCTGGGCCCTGACTGGGCTCTCTGTATCCCTGCAGAGGACCTTGGAATCCTGACATTAAGGAAGGACACTGTAGGATCCCAGGGTATTACTACCTGGGAACAGTCAGTAATGACTAGAAGAGGAGGGAGTGGGCTGGGCAGTGTCCTGGAAGGCCTCAGTGGGAATGGGGGAGACCCTCACTGGCCTGAGGATGGGAATCTTTCAGCCTATTCGTGGTCAAGGGAAGTTAGATGGGTTGGGAACCTCTGACTGAATCTGTCCTTCCTTTCCTCATCTTCTCATGGGCTTGGTCATTGATGAGTAGCTGGTCAAAGAGATTGGTGAGAGATGTGTATGGAGGGCCTGGACCCTGAGTTGTGTCTAGGGGGCTTTATCCTGAACGTGTATGGGCAGCTAGCATGCTTTTTGAGCTCAGTTTGTTACAGGGGAGGCCAAGAGGCCTCATGTTACGGAAACCAGGTTGACTTTGAACTCAGAGATCCATCTGCCTCTGGGTCCTAGGATTAAAGGTGTGTGCCACCACACCCGACCCTGTGGAAAACTTTTTATGGAAGATTCTCCCCCATTGTCTGAGGCCACCAGAGATCCAGCCTTCACTTGTACAGTGTATGTGCAGTAGGAGGGGTCTTAGGGCCCAGGCTTCAATGTGTGCTGATGTGTATGTCCATCTGGGCCGTACTATGGGTTCCTCTGTTCTTGCTTCCCATACAAACTGTATTTATTGTCAGCCTGACCCCTCTGGCTGAGAGCAGATCCCCCATGTGTTGAGCTAAGGGGGCAAGGCTTGCTTGAAGAGTAAGGTCTGCTGGGTCATTGAAAGGAAGAGCCAGGTATGGAAAGACTCTAGGATTTCCCAGCTTAAAAGGAGAGCCTTGCCGGGCGTGGTGGCACATGGCTTTCATCCCAGTGCTTGGGAGGCAGAGGCAGGCGGGTCTCTGTGAGTTCAAGGCCAGCCTGGTTTACATAGTGAGTTCCAGGACAGCTGGGGCTACAGGGAGACCCTGTCTCAAAAAGACAAAAAATAAAAAATAAAATAAAAGTAAAGCCTTACCCTATCCCAACTCCTCCTGCCTCCAGCATCTTGTTGATTCTTTGTTTCTAGGATAGCAGCATCTACAATATATGTCTTCCTGAAGTCTCTTGCTGGCCTTGGTTTCCCCGTGTTTAAAATGGGTTGAGGAAGTGAGGAAAGAGTTGTTGGGAGCTTGTCTTTGGGAAGCCATCTGGGTGTGGGTGGGAACAGGGGTTATATAGTCAAACTGAGGACCCTCACAGAGAAAGAAAGACATTGAGAGTGATGCTTCCTATTAATACAGAACCCCTGGGTTTTTCAGTAAATAAGTTATACAACTACTGGGTCCTCAGGCTTTTTTGAGGCCTATCTATGAAGGGACTGGAGGAGAGCCCTGTGGTGGTTGTTTTTCCTTTATCCTCTTACATAGCCCAGATTGGCCTCGAACTTGTGGTGATCCTCCTGCCTCAGCCTTCCTAGTACTGGTATTAACAGTGTGTGCCACCATTCCAGGATAAAGCCCAGTTTTCTAGTTTGTTTTGGATGGGGTCTTACTATACATAGTGAGTTGAGTATGGCTGGCCCTGAATTTGCTATGTAGACCAAGATGACCTTGAACTCAAGAGATCCACCTGCCCCTGCTTCCTGAGTCCTGAGATTAAAGGCATGCATCACAATACCACCATACTTACCAACTAAAGCCCAGTTCTTTTAGCCCAGTTCTCTTTTTTTTCTCTTTTTGAGACAGCCCCAGCAGCAGACCATGTAGATTAGGCTGGCCTTAATCGCACAGAGATCCATCTGCCTCTAGAGTTCTGGGATTAAAGGCATGTGCCACTACTCCCAGTTTAAAGCCCAGCTTTTAAGAGGCCTGAATCTTTTTTTTTTTTTTAATATTTTTTTATGTGTATGAGTGTATTGCCTGTATGTGTGTAAGTGCACCCATGTTATGCAATACCCAAGGAGGTAAGAAGAGGGCGTCAGATTCCCCTGAAACTGGATGATTGTTAGCTACCATGTGGGTGCTGTGATTCAAACCTGGGTCCTCTGCAAGAGTAGCTAGTGCTCTTAACTGCTGAGCTATCTCTCCAGCCCCACCAAGAAGGCATTTTTACAGGTGACTCTTCCAGCCTTCTAGTGTAAGGCAAGTATAAGGCGAGGTCTTTGGCTGACCAAGATCTTTTCTGGACTTTGGAAGATTCTGTGACTGTATCTCAGAGTACTCATCTCTAAGATGGTGTTCCCCTGGGCACTTCAACTCTCTACACACTGCCTTCTCTCCTTTGTCTGTTCTGAGGCCCAACTCTGAGGAATTTTCCATGACCCCTGTTTGTTCTGGGTTTGTGCAGGTCCCTTCCTATCTTGGTCATGTGATGAAACTGTCATATCCTGCCCTCTATAGCTGTTTTTTTTAGTATAGTCACCAGTCACAAGCAGCTATTTACGTTGAAGTTAATGAAAAATAAATGAAGTCAGGTATGGTGGTGCATATGCCTGTAATCCCAGTACTTGGAAGCTGAGACAGGACGATTGAGAGTTGGAGACCAGGCTGAGCTACATATAGCAAGACCCTGCCTCAAAGAAAAAAAGCCTTCTATTTGTCTCACAAACCATGGTCTGATCTCTCTACAAGATGTGGTTGCACTCAAATGTATGCAGGCAATACACTCATATACATAAAATAAAAATAATAATTTTTTTTTTTTTTTTGGCCCTTTTGAGACAGGGTCTTCCTGTAGCCCCAGCTGGCCTGGCATTCACCAGGTAGACCAGGCTGGCCTTGAACTCACAGAGATCCAGCTGCCTCTGCCTCCCAAATGCTGGGATTACAGGCATGCGCCACCATGCCCGGCATAAATAAAATATTTTTTAAAAAGCCTTGACCATGCTGAAGTATTTGAAAGCAGGCAGTCACCAGCTTCTTGAGCAGGAGAGACCTTGTTTGAAGAGGTGTGTTTGGTGAGTAGGGAAGAGTGGGTTGTAGAGATTGGACATTAAGAGCTGAGAAAAGTAGCTTGATCTGACAGCAGATTGGTCTTGGAAGAGCCAGAGTCTCCTGTCTCTGGGTTTCACTGAGGGGCTGAGAGACATAGCTGGCAGGGGTTCCTAAGGCCCAGCTCTCAGACTCAGAAATAAGGAAGAGGGTGGCTGCCTTGCTGCCCAGTAGTATAAGGCAAATAGAAGCTGAGGTTTTTGGATGGGCCCAAAGGCCTGTGTCACCAGAAGGCTGTTTGACTCTCTGCATCACAAGGTACTCTCCTCAAGGTAGTGCCCCCAGAAGAGGTAGCCAGACATGGATAATAACAGCCTGGTGCCAGATCATCTGGTTTGTGTCACTTATTAGCTATACAACTTTAAAGAGTTTTTTTAAAAAATAATACTATTTTCACTATGTAAATCACCTGTCCTTGAACTCACAGAGATCTACCTGCTCTGCCTCCTCAGTGCTGGGATTAAAGGTATGTGTCCTAGGGCCCAGCTCTCAGACTCAGAAATAAGGAAGAGGGTGGCTGCCTTGCTGCCCAGTAGTATAAGGCAAATAGAAGGCTGTTTTTATTTTTAATTATGTATTGGAGGTGTATGTGCACATATGTACAAGTGCCTGTGAAAGCCAGAGGTGTCAGATTCCTCTGGAGCTGGAGTTAGAGATGGCTGTGAGCTATACAATGTGGGTGCTAGGAACCAAAACCAGGTGCACTGAAGAGCAGTTCTTGTTCTTAACTGCTGAACCATCTCTCTAGTCCCATTAGCCATACAACTTTAGACAGATTACTTAACCTTTCTGGGCCTTGGTTTCCTCCTTTGTGAAACAAGGGTTATAAAATAGTACTTACCTCATAGCACTGCTGAGATGATTAGATGAACTCCTTTGAGGTAAAATGAATGAAATAATGGATGCATAGAAAACACAGTGGTTGTCAAGTACCTTGAATACATGCTGGCTGAGCCTGCCCTCAGAAAGCTCAGGGTTAAATTACACAGGGGAAGTCATGTGGGCCTCTTTTTGCTAGGAACTGGTGGCCCTCAGCTTGCATGAAGGTCAGAGGAGGCTGGGTGACAGAGGTTTTAGGTCATCTGGGTCCTAGGACCTCTGGGAAGAGTCTGTTGCAAAGAGGGAGGTCTGGTGCCTGGCTATCCCTTGTAAGGTTGGAGTGATACCCCTCTGACACTCTTAACCCAACTGTCCCTGCAGAAGATGCTGATGAAACAGCAGGACCGGCTGGAGGAGCGAGAACAGGACATTGAGGACCAGCTGTACAAGCTTGAGTCAGACAAGCGCCTGGTGGAGGTAGTGAACCCTGAGCCCAAGTTGGGGTGGTGGTGAGTTCCTTAGGAAGGGTCTTAGCTCTATACCAGAATTCTATTAGTTACCCAGTGGGCTATCAGAGTAGGAGCCCACTGGTTGTAGGAGTAGCTGGCACATAGCCCAGTGCCACTTATGGGGAATTGGCAAGTCCTTACTCTTGGAAGCCAGGAGCTCAAGGTCCCAGACACCCCCAGCATTAGGAATGGGGTTGGGGTAGGGCTCACCTGCTGCTTGCTTTTGTTCCTCCTGCAGGAGAAAGTGAGCCAGCTGAAGGAGGAAGTGCGGCTGCAGTACGAAAAGCTGCACCAGCTGTTGGATGAGGACTTGCGGCAAACGGTGGAGGTCCTGGATAAGGCCCAGGCCAAGTTCTGCAGTGAAAACGCGGCGCAGGCGCTGCACCTTGGGGAGCGCATGCAGGAGGCCAAGAAGCTGCTGGGCTCCTTGCAGCTGCTCTTCGATAAGACAGAGGATGTCAGCTTCATGAAGGTGGGGTGGGGGGGCCACTCTGTACAGCTCTGGTCCCCAGCTGTTTCTACACAGTATACTCACCTGCCTTTGTCTTTGGAACCATCCTGCATGGGTTCAAAGCTGCCTACCTGCTGTTTTTAGTTTTGTGACCTTGGGCAAGTCATAGATGCCCCTGAGCCTTGATATATACCAATCTGTTATCCCTTATCATTTCAGATTTTTTAAATATCTGAAAACTAACAGAAACAAATTTTGGGAATTCATTTAATAGCAAATACTCAGTGAAACTGATAGAGGCAGTTAATGGTCTTACTGTGTTTCACATGAAAAGAAAATTTAAACAGGTTGCTTCATGAGTGTCAATGGACACTCATTGGATTATGATGTCCTGCTTGGATGATATGACATGAGCTCCATAGTCCCCTCCTGAAATCCAGAACATTCTGCAACCTGTCCTGCCTCAGCAGGTCAGATAAAAAGACAAGGAGCTGTGGAACCCCATTCTAGATAGAATGGATGGAATAATGGATGCATAGGAAACTTGGTGGCTGGCTGGGAAAGTGGCTCAGCTTATAGGCCTCTTGCCTAGCACGCACAGTGCAGGGTTTGATCTCCAGCACCACATAAACCAGACTTGGTGATATGCATCTGTAAATATACCCTAGGAGGTGGAAGCAGTTCAAGACCATCCTTGATATACCTAGTAAGTTCCAGCCCAGTCTGGGATACATGAGACCCTGTCCCAAACAGAAACAAAAATACAGTGGTGACATAGCAAGTGCCCCCAAAATGGATCTATTCTCTTTGTCTTGCCTTTTCCACTGACTCACTCTTTTCTCTGCCCCCACAGAACACCAAATCTGTGAAAATCTTAATGGATAGGTGAGCAGGTAGCCCCCAGTCCTTGGGAATACATCTGAGGGAGGAGAGGGAGGGCCATGCCCACCACGGGGAGGTAGGGCGGGCTCACTGGTGATGCCTCCTCACAGCAGACGCCCCGTCCACTGCCCTCAGGACCCAGACCTGCACTGGCAGCAGCCTTTCTCCCCCTAAGATTGGCCACCTGAACTCCAAGCTCTTCCTGAATGAGGTGGCCAAGAAGGAGAAGCAGCTTCGGAAGATGCTAGAAGGTGAGGGTGAGACCCTTGTGGGCAGGGTAAATGCCAACATCATCTCTGAGAGGCAGTGTGGCCTATATAGACTTGTGTTCACATCCTGACTTAGCCACTTCTAGTGGGGACCATGGGCGAATGATATTCCCTCTTTGAGCTTTAATTTCTTCAGCTAGAAAATGGAAATAATAATCTCTTTTACCTCCTAGTGGAGATGGGACAAAAATGGAGATCAACAAAAATGTCCTATTTGTGTCCTAGTGCTTTAAACACCCCCACCCCCGAGGGATTGGAAACCTGGGTTGCTTGGGCTAGGAGCTTTGGCAACTTTTGCTCCAAACTCTCCACAGGCCCCTTCAACACACCGGTGCCCTTCCTGCAGAGTGTCCCGCTGTACCCTTGTGGCGTGAGCAGCTCTGGGGCAGAAAAGCGCAAGCACTCAACGGCCTTCCCGGAGGCTAGCTTCCTAGAGACGTCATCGGGCCCTGTGGGCAGCCAGTACGGGGCGGCGGGCACAGCCAGCGGCGAGGGCCAATCTGGGCAACCCCTGGGGCCCTGCAGCTCCACACAGCATTTGGTGGCCCTGCCGGGTGGTGCCCAACCAGTACACTCGAGTCCTGTATTTCCCCCATCGCAGTACCCCAATGGCTCTGCCACCCAACAGCCCATGCTCCCCCAGTATGGCGGCCGCAAGATTCTCGTCTGTTCCGTGGACAACTGTTACTGTTCTTCCGTGGCCAACCATGGTGGCCACCAGCCGTACCCCCGATCCGGCCACTTCCCCTGGACAGTGCCCTCGCAGGAGTATTCACACCCACTCCCACCCACACCCTCCGTCCCTCAGTCCCTTCCCGGCCTGGCGGTAAGAGACTGGCTCGACGCTTCCCAGCAGCCTGGCCACCAGGATTTCTACAGGGTGTATGGGCAGCCGTCCACCAAACACTATGTGACGAGCTAACGCCACGCGGGCAGGGGACGCTGGGGACGCCTCCCCCCAGCCCCCGTGGCTTGGGAATTATGCATCCAGAGATCTGCCCTTCTTTCTACCTTCTCTCTCCCTCCCTCCATTCCTCCAGGTCTTTTCCTTTTGGATTATGTTTTGTTTGGGGTTTTGTTTTGATTTTTTTTTTTTTTTTTAAATTATGCATCTCCTGGGTGAGGAGGTGATGGTGGGAGCTGGACTGGGCAGGGGCTGCAGGTGGCCCTGGAGTTGGGACAGTGTTTGTCTCAAAACACCTGGCTCTCTTTTCTCCTTTTTTTTCTTCTCTTCCCTCCCCTTCACACCTCCCAGGGCTGGAAGAAGTCTTGGGGCTCCAGCCCTCCTCACTCACCCTGGGAGAAGGCCCAGAGCCCCCTGGCCTATTTCTCCTCCCTCCTGTTTTTTCTCTTGGGCAGTTTGATCACTGATTGAGTAAGGAATGACCTATAGATTGTGGAACTTTTTTTAAAAAAAACAAAGAATGATTTCTCCTGCTTCCTTCTCACCATGTACCCAGATGGAGTTCAAGGCCACATCTCAAGCAGCTTTTGGCACCTTCAGCCTCAGAGTGGAATCTTTCAAAGACAGGAACCCCATGTTCAGGAAAGGGGAAAAAAAGGAACTTTGCCAATGATAGTGACCACAGCAAAAGCAAATAATAATAATATTAATAATAATAAAGAGAAATAAATAATAAACAATAGCACAGCCCTTGTTGAGGTCCGTGGAGAAGGGGCTGCCCAGATTTGGGTCCTTACCTGGATTTTGACACTGCAACTTCCTATAGTGAGCACTTTGTATGAATTGTGGACTTCTTGTTCTCAAGACACAGGTATTTATTCTGTAATCTGTCTAGAGCACACACCGAAACCCAACCTTCTAATAAACATGATGGCGCAGTCCTCCCCGCCTTGCCTTTTACCCCCCCGGGGGTCTTCTGGCATTGGTAGCAGGGGCTTTTCTAAAGCTTCTACTCCTACCCCCTTTGCATTCTAGCCTGGGTCTAGATAATTTCAGCCCCGTAATTATCAGTTTGCTTAGGCACTGACTACCTCTCTGCTCTTCACCTTGGGTCTAACTGACAAATATTTGTTGAAGGCCTTCCAGCCCAGCACCCTACTAACTGGGCCCTGGCATCTCTGAGGTTCTGCAGTATGCGTCTTAGATGAAGGCGAAACACCTTTCTGTGGGTCTTGCAAAGTTTACCTACCTCCTAGCCACAAATATTTGTTGAGCACATTATGTGTGCCAGGTACTGTGCAGGGAGGGCTACAGGCTAAAATAGACCCTTGTTCCTTAGGAATATCTGTGAGACAGGTCACCAGGCTCCATCCTCCTTTGGTGACTTGGAGCTTTGACCTTGGAAAGGATACAGGTGGGGTAATAAGATGAAAATGTTACCTCTGGTTAACAGTTTTGTCATAGTGCCAAATAGATTGACACCCATTTAGACTAAATCTGAGAACCAGCAGTTTGCCTTCCTAGGTCTGGTGATTCTACGCCCTGGAGTAGGAGAAGTACTGTCTTGGTAGGGCTGACGAGGGTCCTGACTACTGCCCTGGGCCTACCGGGTCCACCTCTGGGAAGTCCTGTTATTTGTTTTTTAAGACTGTAACTGGCTGGCCTGGAACTAGAAATCCTACCTCATCCTCCTAAGTGCTGGGACTACAGGTTGGCCCCAACCTTTAAGGCTTTCTGCTCAGTTGCCTGTTTTGCATGCATCTCTAAGTGAACCTATGCCCTGTTTCCATATTAAAGAGGTCACCCTTTGCTAGCACCTAGTGTGGGCTGAATCAGCAAAACTGGGACATGGTGGGGAAAGAGAGTTTAAACCCATGTGAGTTGCTTAAACCTTGCTATTGCTAGCCACTCTTAGGAAAACAGAAGGTCCAGGTGGGAAGAGGATCTGGTCACACTCCTTGGCCCATTGGGCTGTGCAGATTAAACTGGTTAAGTCCTGAGTGTCCCACCTTCCTTAGAACTTTGCCTCTACCTCCCCCCTCCCCAGGCTGGCAGAAAGCCAGAGCCAGGAGCAGCTATGACAACAGCTAGCCTTCCCCGTTTCTGCACCTGTTTGGGGCTGAAGGGAGGGGACAGATGTCTGGGGCAGTCTTATGCTGGTGGGCAAATAGGCACTTTACTCACATCTGCTGCTGTCTCACTGGCTCTGTATTCTGTTTGTCAGGAGCCCTGGGACATGATCCATGCCAAGATCTGGGAGCCAAGACAGAAAGCTGCCTGATTTCTTTCCCACTTGGCCTAGTTTTGTTTTGGCCAATGGGAAGGGTCCTTTTTCCAGGTGCATCAATCAGTCTGAAATATGGAGGGGACACTTGGGGGTAGGTTGGGCTTGAAGCCCACCCCAGACAATCACACACAGGCACACAGCTGTAGGACCGAGCTGGCTTGGGCAGCCAGGGAAACTGGGAGAAACTAACTCCATCCAGCTGTCCCTAGCTACCCAGCTGTCCCTGGCTTTGTAGGAGCAGCTGTCACCCACCTCCCAGAAGAGTGGGGCCGAGGAGGCCCAGAAAGAGCTGAAGCTGCCCAGGACACAGGCCTACTGGGGAAAGCATAGAGGGGCCTTCCCCATGCTGGCCTGGAGGGCCAGGCAGAGGCCTCAGGTCCCTGCAGGTGCACCCCCAGCAGCCCACACCCTCTAGACTGGCCCCTGCTCCCCTCACCCCCACCCCTTCCCTCTGAGGTCACCAGCCTCCCCTTTCCAGGAAGGGCTGGGAGGTGATAGTCTCTCCCCACCCCATTGATGGGGGTGGTTCCTGTGGCCCAGATGTGCAGAGCCCGCGAGGAGGCCACCGCCGGGGGCGGGGGGAGGGGGAGTTTCCTCCTCTCACCACCCGGGCCCTCCGGGCTCTTTCATGTCCCAGCCCTCCCCCGTCCCAGCTCCAGCAAGCAGCTGGGCCGGCTCCCACCCCCTCCCTCGGGCTCTCTCCCAGCTGTCTTTCGGGTGGGGCCGGGCAGCTGGGGAACAGCTGCAGGGCAAGGAGGGCTCCCCCACCCCTACCCCGCATCTCTGGGCCTAGGAGGGAGTCCAGGGCAAGGCCTGGGTACCGTAGGCTCCCCTGCCCCGTCCCAGTGGGTTTGACAGGGCAGACTCCAAATAAAAGCTTTCCCAGCATCAAAGGACACCTGGAGGGGTGTGGGGTCATCCTGAAGCGTCCTATCTGATGAATCAGCACCTTCTCCATGCTGAGACCCCTTCATTCTAACCTCACTTCTGGATTCTTACCAGGACCGGTTCACACCAACCCACTCAGACACCCTCCTCCATCGTTATCATGCAGGATCTCAGGCACCTTTATTTTCTCTGGACTGAAGGTGGGGGAGCTGGGGGATTCCCTACCCCACCTCTGCAGCCTTTACATTCCCGGGGAGGAAGGCCAGGTGGGAAGGTACCTTTGACACTCTCCCCTACCAATAAAGGTTACCAGGAATCCTAGGTGAGAGGAGGTGGAGTCTTCTTGGGGAGGGGGTGTCCCTGTTTGGTTTTAGAGAATTCTTCTTTGTAAATGCTTTAGGAACAGTGGTCTTAATGCCTGGCATGATGGAGCATGCCTGTAATCCCAGCACTGGAGAGACAGGATCTTGCCTGGCCTGCAGAGACCCTGTCTCAAAACAGAACTAAACAAAACAATAGACAAACAAAAAAGGAGGAGGAGGACCACAGAGGGGACTAGGCGGTAGCTGGCTTCAGAACCTGGAATCCTGATAACTAATTCTAGAATCCTAGAATCCTCCAAATCTCCCTTTGCGTGTGTGTGTGTGTGTGTGTGTGTGTGTGTGTGTGTGTGTATGTGTGTTTTCTGAAACAAGGTCTCATTATGTAGAACCTGGTCTCAAACTTAAAATGATCCTTCAGCCTCTGCCTCCCAAGTGCTAGGATTACAAGTGCATGCCACCACATCTACCTCTTCCTTTCTGTTTGTTTATTTGTTTAATTTATTTAGACCAGATTCATTAAATACATACAGCCTAGGCTGTCCTTGAACTCAAAGTCCTCTTGCCACAGCCTCAAAAGTGCTGAGGTTACAGGTGTCCAGAACTATGCAGACCTGGAGCCCTATTTCTTTGAGTTAAGAAGACACTCTTAGGGGGCTGGAGAGCGATGGCTCAGCGGTTAAGAACACTGACTGTTCTTGCAGAAGACCTGGGTTTGAATCCCAGCACCACATGGCAGCTAACAACTGTTCATAACTCCAGTTCCTGGGGATCCGACAGCCTCTTCTGTCCTCCTCGGACATTGCATGACACGGTGTACTTACCTACATGCAGGCAGTACACACATAAAATAAAAATAATAAAATATTTTTAAAAATACATTTTTTCAAAAAAGACACTCTTAGATTGTCCCTGTACAGAAATGCTAGGGCATGGCTCAGAGTTTAGGCTCTTTAAAAAGCTAGGATTCTAGAATCTTTGGGATGGAAAACAGATACTGGAATAGTTGGGGCAGTTAGGGTTGAGAGGTGAGAAGGTAACTTCAAATCAGGAAGTCCTGGTCTCTAGAACATCCATTTCTTCCTTAGGGTTTGTTTGTTTGTTTAGTGCTGGGATTAAAGGTGAGTACTATGTTGCCTGGCTTTTGATTTTTTGTTGTTGTTTTTATTTCTCCCTTTAACCTTCACCTAAAAGCTTTTCTTCCCCTCCAGGGCAGGGTGCGTTCTAGTAGTCTCTAATGGAACTCTTCCAGTGACACAGCTTACAGTCCCAAAACATCCCTTCCATTGTGAAAGTTCTTTTAAATAAGAGAACTCTGCTGGCTAGAGCTCTGGTTGCTATCATATTGTTCATGGTATGTGGGCATCACACCCCCTGAGTGAGGGAAGTCTTCAAGAGCACAGGGCTGCTTTTGAACTTCTCCATCTCTCCTATTTCTGATGCACAGCCTGACAAAGGACTTATCTCAGAGTTCTGTACTGAGGGGGTCCTTGAGTGTTTCCTCCACAGGAAAAGTTTTCTTTAATTGCTGTGTGGTTAATTTCTCTCAACTGCACCAAACTGGGATATTTACGACTTCTCCTTGCACTAGATCTTCAGTAATTGGGTCTTTCTTGAGAGGGAACCCATCTGTTCTGTACCCTAGGTTATTTTTTATTATTTACATTGAGGCAAGAAGTAATATGTGGGATGGTATGTGGCTTGTAAAATAGGGGTGAAAGGTGACAGGCACCATCTCAAAATTGCAGGTCAGAACTGAAATAGGGGAAAAAGGTTTCCAAGAACTATTAGAAATGCTGTAGACTTCTGGTCTACCTTGAAAACAAAATGGCAGGGAGTCATTTGACATATGGATGTCCTGGCTGCAATTGGATGTTGGTATTAGACACTGTCCATATGCGTGCCTGCTGCAGGGCACTGAACAGGAGTGGGCATGGATGCAAATACGCAGCTTGACGCTTAACAGGGATTTACCAGTTACCATCCCTGCCAGCTATAATAGTGCCCCATGTTCTACCCATCAAATCTTATACTTAAGATCAATCTTTCAACAGTCCATACAGTTCCATGCCCCAGTGGCTTTGGACTTCAGACCCTCTACCTAGCCTCAAAGTCTTACTTCCTCTATGTAGACCCACCAGCCAGCCCCAATTCCATCAAAGGGTAATGGAAGAGTAGTAATGAAATGCTGCCTGTGAAGTGCCAGGTCTGGTGCTAGCCCAGCCAGCTTTCATGTTCCTTTGGGCCAACCACACTCCCATTCTTTGCTGTCTTGTTTAGTATTCTAATTGTGGTTTCTACGTCAAGGTACAAGCTGCACAGCTTAGATTTCCAACTAGGACATGAGTCCCTGTGGAAACATGAAATATTAGTCATCTTTGATGTTTCAGAGTCTAGCATGGCACCTCTGTATCCATCCATCCATCCATCCATCCATCCATCCATTC